GAGAGAGAGAGAGAGAGAGAGAGAGAAATAATAAGACTGAGAGAGGGAACCAGAGAGAGAAAGAAAGAAATAGACTGAGAGAGGGAGAGAGAGAAATAGAGAGGGAGAGAAATAGACTGAGAGGGAGAGAGAAATAGACTGAGAGAGGGAGAGAGAGAGAAATAGACAGAGAGAGGGAGAGAAATAGACTGAGAGAGGGAGAGAGAGAGAAATAGGCTGAGAGAGGGAGAGAGAGAAATAGACAGAGAGGGAGAGAGAAATAGGCTGAGAGAGGGAGAGAGAAATAGGCTGAGAGAGGGAGAGAAATAGACAGAGAGGGAGAGAGAGAGAAATAGTGAGACAGAGAGGAGAGGAAGAGGGGGCCACCTGTCCAGGAGCGGGGGAGGGAGGGCCGCAGAGGCTGGCGGCTGGAGGGGCGGGTGGAGCGACAGACAGTGAGTGCCGGAAGGTCTGTCCCTCTGAGCCTGTGGCCTCGCCCGCTTCCCCAGGCGGCGGGACAGGTAATCCTTGCTCAGGACAAAGGACCCGGAGGAATCGGCGCCCGGTGGGCTCGCTGCCGCTGCCCCTGCCCCAGCCCTGTCTGTGGTGCTTTCTCCCAGTCTCGTCGGTCGCCTCCCCGCTCTGGGGGGCGGCTATTACTATCCACAAGGAAGAGACCAAATCGAAGCCCCAGTCTGTTGTCACGGCACCTCAGCACCTCGAGGAGAAGGTGATCGGCCCTTCCTCAGCGGTGCCCACTGCGACCCCTGGGAGCTAAACCCTCTATCGGGAAGGAAACCCAGAGCTTCCAATGCTGAGAAGGAAGCAAAAGAGGAGAGGAGGCAGGTGGAGCGATGGGAGGCGCGGGGAGAACAGAGGTGGGAGGAGGGGCCTGTGTGTCCATTACCCAGCACACAGCTGGCGCTCAGCCAGTGCCCCTTCCCCTTCGGGTGGAGGGCACCCAGGGCCCGCCCAAGCAGAGCAGGCAGCCGGAGCAGAGTGGGGAGCAGGACCCAGAGAGGGTGTGGAACCTGCCAGGCACACAGTAGGCGCTCAGCACGTGGCCATTCCCTCCCCCAGGAGCGGGCGGGAAGGAAGGAGAGGAAGTGGAGAGGGCAGAAAGGAATCCAGGACAAGAGCGTAATGAGAGGAGACCGTAAATTCCCTGGCGCCCAGTAGGCGCTCAGTAAATGCTCATTTCTCTCCCAGGAGAGACCAGGCAGAGCAGGAGGCAGAGCAAGGAAGCAGGTGGAAGGGACCGGAGAGCGAAGAGAGTTTGAGGTGCAGAGGCACTGTGCGGAGATTACCTGGCAAACACTGGGAACTTAATAAATGCCCATTTCCTCCAAGGCAGGGAGCCAAAAGCACGGGGAGAGCAAGCAGAGGGCACAGGAAGGGGCAGGGAGAGAACAGGGTGGGGGAGAGGCAAGGAGGCGTTTCAGGTACATTCAGCAGGTGCTCCACACATGCTGGGGGCGGGTGGGGAGGCCAGAAGGAGTGGGAGTCTGAGGGCAGAGGCCTCCAGGTGGCTGCCCCTCCCCCAGGGCCCAACCCACCCCTCAGCTGCCCCGACTAGAGCAAGGACAAGGGCACACTGTCCTGGGCCTGGCACAGCCTGCCGGGAGGGGGGAAGCCCTTTGCTGTGCCTGGGGGGTGGGGCACCGCCTGGTCTCTGTCTCTCTGTCTTTGAGTGTCTCTCTGTGCCTGCATCTCTGTGTCCTATAGTCTCTCCCACCTCTGAGTCTGTGGCCCTGTCTCGGTCTCTGTCTCTGGGTCTCCCTCTGCATCTCTCTGTCTCTGTCCCCTGTCTCTCAGTCTGTCTCAGCCTCTGTTTCTTGCTGTCCTCTGGGAGGCAGGACCCCAACCCCAGCCTTGGCCCCAGCTCCCGCCCCCCCACCGGGATCAGGGCAGAGGAGTGAGGAAGGGAAGGAGGAGGCAGAGGAGCCAGAGGTGAGGACAGAAACAGCTTTATTCAGCGGACACCACCGCAGAGGGCCCGCAGACCTCCATCGGAGAGCTGGAGAGAGGTGGGGTCAGGGAGGGAGACAGACGGGCCGAGAGTCAGGGA